GGGCAGGGGGCAGAAAGACAGGCTTGATGTAATGAATGAATCATAAAATGTCGGGAACCAATAGCCTGAAAAGAAATTGTTGGTGATAGTCATAGAGACGACGGCCCAGCCACGTGGCTTTCCAAACGACCACCCCCGACCGTAAATTCATGAACGAGCATTCACGCGTGTTGCGCATCATAGGCTTAGGTCTAACTAAACATTAGCCGACACGCAGTCTCTCAAACACCAGTTGGAAACCTTCTCTCAAAAGAGATGCATTTCCAGTGACCAATCAAATAACGTTTCAGCCCCCCCCAACATTTCACCGACCAGACCTAGGCTATGTGTAAGTGGAAAGTTGGGTGTGAAAACGCTGTCCATCACTCTCTTTGTTCGGCGTAAGGGGCAGTCTCACCAAATATCAGGTTTTCTAGGCTTGTCGTAGTGAAAATTTCCCTAAGTCAAGCTTTACCTGTCTGCGGGTTTCGCAGATCGGAGCGTGCGTTTAGAGGGAGTGACCGTGCGTTTGTACGTTTAAATTATATAGTAAAAAAACCGTCAGAAGACGAAAGTGTGCATTTGAGCGGAACGTGCTTTTGTATGGCGTGCGTTTAGGCGGAGACTACTGTATGTATTTATGCAGAACCAAGACAAAGACAAAGATTTCATTTTTTATTATCATTCTCTAAGTTAACAAAATCACATCATTTTTATATATGTGGATGGTACGAGGGTGCTCTGGTGTAGTATGTTCCTGCTTTCTTATCAAACATCTATCGAGCTTATCGCTACTCCTTCTCTATCTTGAAACACCTTTAACTGTCAGCACTTATATGACTTAATTGTGTCACAAGTGCTGTAAAACATTAACCAAAACTATAATTATATTATATTATCATTCCCTAACATAACAGAAGGTATGACTTACTTGGAAGGTGAAATCTCTCCCTGATCCTGGTGAAGGGCAGCACGGTGATGATGGAATAGATCTGAGAAAAAAACAAAAGCGATTAACACTTTGATTACACTCATAAAATCCTCAATCAAATCTGTTTTCATTTCAATTCTTTTCAAAAGAAGAGCATTCAAACTCCCCCCTCCCCCAAATTTCAAAATAATTTTCCAAAGAGCAAACTTAAGTAAACACAGTTGTGTTTTTCTCAGTTTAGAGAAGTTACTCAAATAGAAGAAAAAAAATCGGGGATTTTATTTTCTTTCAGTTTCCTGCTGTTTTCAGATTAACCAAGTTCAATTTAAGTCCAGGAGTGGCTCATTTAACACTGACTTGATTTTTCCCAATGAAAAGCAGCTTTTCGAAGTAAAAAAAATCGAGATATTTGTCAAAAGTATAGGAAGAGGCTAAGAAATGAGATGGAGGCTTCACAGGAAAGTAAGCAAAGCAGAAACCAGAGGAAAATTGACATCAGACAGAGCAACATTAATACCTTTCACCAGTTCAGACCAGAAAAGAGTCGAAAACGATTTCTGGCACTAAAAGAGAATTGGGTTGAAAATTGCAATACAAACCAGCAAGGTAACTGAAACATACAGGACATAATCAGCAAACCAACACTGTAACCTTTAACCTTGAGGTCAAGCAAAGTCTGTGTCCATCCCTTTTTATATTGATGTCAAATCCCTCCCAAGGCAGTGAAGGCCACTGCTTTAAATACTTGCGACACAGCTGCAATCTTTGGCACCTAAAAAAATGTGGACATTTGGTTTCATGATAGAATTCACAGCTGTATGACTGCATGAAGACTTAACTCTTTGGCTGAAAAAACCCAAAACCAAAGCAGTATGGAGTCAGTCACGTATATGATAAAAAATAATTCCCTCAACGTAGAGCTAAAAAAAGAAACAAACTAAAGGACAAATACTTTAAACAAAATCATGCCTGTTTACAACAAAAAAACACTTACCAGGAAAAAGAAAATTGAAGTTGAGAACAAAAAGATCATGCCCCCGTGAGCAAACAAGTCATAGCTGATGTCCCCTGTACTGTTTCCTTTACCAGAAGATTTCCCTGTGAAACTTGGGTGGTCGTATTCCAACTCCAAGATGCACTGGAGAGACAAAGGAGGAAACACATGGTGGCATACTGACAAAATACAAGCAATGACTCGGTTTTGACTTTCAAGCGTATTCCAGTGCAATGTGTCCATTCTGAAAACAGGCTATATGAAGTAAAGCTTACAAGTTTTCCGGTACATGTATGTCCTTAATTGAGATCACCTTCGTTTGTCTTCTTTATTTCATCCAATACAAGCACTCATGATTACTTTAAAAATCAAGTTGTAGAGGGAGCTAGGTTATGGTCTTGCTCATTACAGAGTTTATCTTCATTTTCTTCCACATTCTTCCTCAAGATCTCGTCGAACTGATCTTCTTTTAAAAATACCTCCCCTTTTCCTACTAGAAACAGTATCCCCCATCTTTCAGAAAGCAATATTCTATTACTGAAAGACCTCTTATCTATCTTTACCCATCAGATTTCTTTCAGCTTTGTAAGGAAAAAATCTAGACCTTTCACTTGGCACCCCCTTCATAACAGGTCTATTCTTCTTCAATTATCAACTAGCAAGTCGTCTAACATAAGTGGAACTTGCATATAAAACATCCAATTTTTTTTTGGTCTGTATCTCAGAAAACTTGGGTTCGCTCTACAATGAGGTCGGTGGGCAAAAAACAACCAAAAAAAACCAAAAAAACCCAAAATACCCCCCCCCCCCCACAAAAACCCTGAAGTAATCCTTTGACTACATCTGTGAAAAAAACAGGTATTTTTGCACAACAAACAGTTCACTCCACAATAACCGCCTTGTTCTTGGACTGAATTACTCATTGATTTACTCTCTTGTTTGTTTGTTTAGTATAGGGTTTTACGGCGCTCGCAACTGCATAAGGTCATATGAGCGCGCGGGACACACCTAATACTTTTTCGTTGGTAGGAAATTTTGAATTTTGCCCGGGTGGCGGCCGAAGCCTACTCTTATCGATTTTAGACCACCAAGGGATCTTTAACGTGTGCAACTTGCACACGGGCCCTCCGAGATTTTTCGCCCTTGTCCGAGAAGGCTAGGTGTAGATCTTTCCTACCAGAAGATCAGGGGTGTGGCAGAAAGACAGCAGTTAGGAGGAGCCAAGGAGTAGCAGTAGAAAGGCTGCAAAAAGAGTCAGGAGCCCAGAGGAGGGGGCAAAGGAGGTGAGGGGGTGGGGGCAGAAAGTGGAAATGAAAGTAGACAACAGAACATTGTTAGAGATCAGGAAAGGAGGTGAAAGGAGACAATTTTAGAGAAGAAAATTTTTTGGTCGCTACCCGGAATCGAACCCGGGACCTTTGAATGAGAGGCCAACACCTTAACCTCTAGGCCACGAGAGCCCCATTGATTTACTCTCTCCCTGTACCGACAGGTACACAAGATAGAGAGCAGTCGATGCTATGCTTGTCTGATCTGGGCCAAATCTAGCCCCTGGATGATTGCCTCGTATCTGATTGTACTCTTATAACTGCCATTTGGTCTACCTCTTCTTCTTCTCCTATTTTGTCTCCACTACCATGTCTGAGAGGGCAATCTTATCCCTGGCGCTCTCAAAACATGTCCCAAATATCTCCATCTAAATCAACCTTACTCTAATCAAACTAACATTCCAATATTACCTGAATCGCAGAGTAAACCAGGGCAAAGCTGAAAGTGACAATAAGCACACGTCGAATGCTGGTGCGACTGTCCAGGTGACCTTCAAGAAAAAAAAGAACAGATTAAAAAAGTTACAAAAAAACTCACTATAAATTCAACACAAAATAAAAAGCTCTTTCAGTGGCGACTTTTTGAACGTCTTTCGAAAAAACATGAAAAAATTTCTTTGATATTCAAACATTCTGAACCCTGACAAGTAATAATAATAATAATAATAATAGATAGCATTTGTATAGCTCAACAGCAGGCTCTATGCGCTTTACACTATATTATTACCCCAGCAGACCATAGAACACTCCGAAACATTCTCAGCTTCCCGGGAAGCATACAGTGCAAGCAGCTGATTAAGCGCTCAAACACTAACAAACTGACAAGATCTTTCGCTGTCTATAGCCGGGTACCCAATCCCACCTGGGTGAAGTGAGGAAAATTCGTGTAAAGTGCCTTTCCCAAGGACACAACGTCGGGTCCCTGACGGGATTCGAACCCACGACCTTACGGTTGCGAGTCCGAGAGCCTAACCACTAGGCCACCGACGCCACATGTACATGTACTTCATCAAACAGCAATGTCTTCACAAACTGTACATGGATAGTAAGCACTACATTTTGGGGGGAGAAATTGTCCATTAACCAAAACATTATTCATATAATATTTCTCTAAGTCACACTCCACAATAACAACATACATACCAAAACCAAGACCAAAGATGATGACTGACAATTCTGTGGCCAGGAGGAAAAATTTCAGAAGCAGCCAGAGAACCTGAAAAGACATCATATATATGCTAATTAGATAATGGCAAAGAAGATGTCTTGTTAGAAATCTACCAGTTTTTTTAATACGGTGATATTACAAAGAGAGGGTAAAAAAAAAACCCAACTAATGATGTATAGTAGCAGAACAACATAAAAAGCCCCCAAAAATTGCAAAATTAGACAATGGCATAAAAGCTGTCCTGTTATAACAGTAAAAACATACCCAAAGAAAAAAAAAAACCCAAAAAACCAAACAAACAAACAACTAATGTGGAGCAAGAAAATGAACATACAATATATGACAGCACAAAAGAGACGAGAAAAATTGCAAAATGAGAGAAGCAGACACATTAACATATCAAATAAACATATCAAATAAACATATCAAATAAACATCAATACTGTCAATACTTATCTAAGGCACTTTTGGTCACACCAATAGAAGAGAAATCACACTAATCAAATAAACAAAGCAATTACCATCAATAAACAATAACTGGAAAAGTTCTCGCATACATTTTAAAAATATCAGTCCAAGAGAAGCTACCAACATAACAAGAGACCATGCACGCAGACATCTTATCATTCTCAGCATTACCTTGTCTGTGACATCACCAGCAGCAGTGGAGGCGTTGACTGTCATGGACACGATGCACCTCACGACCCCAACGAGAGACACGATAAACACCTGTGCCAAAAGAATGTTGCAGAAATTCTTCTTAAAAGTTGAACCAGGTTCATGAGTTATAATGCAAAAATTGTTAACTAAAAAATGAGCCCAGATGAAAATTATGTGAATGACAGCATTGAAGGTTGTGTAGATTGCTACATTGTATATGTCCAAATGTACCCATGGGGGTTGAAATGGAAAACTGGAATGAACAGGTAGGATAAGTGAATTATTGTGAAAGCATGTGAGACTTTGATCAGAAGGGACACAAGACTACACTAATGCTTCAATTTAAAGCATAAGCAATAATATTATATTATGGTAATGTTACACAATTAATGACCAGACAGCCCATAAAGGTTTGTGAATCTTTCACACTCCCATCAACACGGTTCAAATTATTTAGGAGGCTAACTGCTTTGACCCTTCCTGTTTGGAGCAACCCTAGCCAAGCAGGATACAGAGCTATAGCAGAAATTTAAGTAATTGATTATAAACTAAACTATGGCAGAAAGTTGAAGTACTCAATAATACAATAAATTTCATTTGAAGAGAATTGTTTGTATGTTTTAGTAGAGGTTTTACGGCGCTCGCAACTGCATAAAGTCATATGAGCGCCAAGGGGTGGATGTCAACAGAGAAGTCCTTACAGGGAATCAGACTTACTCTGCTCAGCTCTCTAGCTTCAACAGCACAAAGTCTGCTTCCACTATCAAGGCATCCCGGAAATAGCGGGTCACAAGAGCGTGACAAACTTACAAAAGAAGTAGACAAAAAAATGACAATAGTAAGGATTAGGAAAGAAAAAGCAGCAGTTCCCTGTTGCAGTTCAGGCACAGTTATGAGCATGACATTTGTGAATCAGCTCATTTACAATTACAATTCTAAAGTGCATAAGAACTCGAGATGTCAATGTCCCCCCCCCCCCCCCCCCCCCTCTTTAGGAATGGCCTAAAGACACTTCAGTCAGTAGCACCGCCCCAGGGGGTTATTTGGAGAGAATGGAAGGCCCATCTTTTGCATACAAGGTGAAGAGATGACCATACCATTGCAAAAGCGGGTGGTCAGAAACAAACAGCATAACACTAAAAGGAGTTTATAAGAGAGCAATAAACCACACCCAAGTTATTATCTCCCATCAGCAGCAAGAGAACACAAAAACCATACAATAGGACATACCAGTGCGTAAAATGCTGTGAAAATAGGACTGTTGGAGGCTTTTAACTTGGCAATGGCCGGCCGCATTCGCAGACACAGGAACAGGAGGAACAGGCTGTTGGGCACCAGGATGATCAGGTCCCATACTCTCACCCTGGTCGATAAAACATACACGGATCATTCACAAAGACCATTCTGACAGGCAGCAACTAAAAAATCAAGCCAGTAAACCATGCACAGCTCCTTAAAAGGTTATAGTTACGGGCAGCAACTCAAAAGTCAGGCCAATAAAACATACACAGCTCATTAAAAGACTATTTTTACAGGCAGCAACTAAAAAATCAGGCCAGTTAAACGTACAAACCCCAATAACTCCCCATCTCCGGTCAGAACTGCTGTGCCAGTTAGCCACTGACAATGGCTCCGGCACATTCCTTCACGACGACACTGACGTTATATTAATGATTGGCATTTGCCGAAAGAGGGTCCCTTTTACAAGTTCTTTCAATAGATGAAAAACTATCAAACTAGGTTCATTTGTATTGACTATGACAAATTTAGTGACGTACATGTCACTTTTAGGTTTCGTAGAGTTAAAACATTATTCTTACAGACAGCAACTCAAATGAAAATCAGGCCAATAAAATATGCACATCTCCTAAGTCAATCCATAATTACTTTTTATAAAATTAATATGGTCGAATAATAAACAGCACAAAAATGTAAAAACTTGTCCACATACCACTAGTACATGTGGAAAAAATGGATAAAAAAACAACATAATATATATATAAAGAGAGAGAATTTCAACTTTAGATCTGACTCAAAAGCTTTCTATTCAAATTTAGTCTACAGTCGCATGCAGAATGGTTCAATGCAAAATCATTTAGCCTAACCATTAAGATAATTTATAAGCCCCACTGATGATGCACAGAGGTATTTGAAACTACACTAGTATAGAATAAATTAGGCCATAAATTTACTCTTAGTTAGCCCTATCAAAAACAAGGGTAGGAGAAATTATAAATATTTCAAATTGTGAGAAACTGTTCTACCAAAAAACAAACGCTTTTCCTCAGTTTTAAACATGAATTTTAAGTGCCTGTGGGCAGTATTCTTTGACTTCTTATACAGCTAGGTCAGATCTTTGTGGAAAGTAAAGAAATTCTGAAAAAAATTTTTTTTTTTTTAAATGCCCCCTTATCTCCATGATGTAGTTATAAAAAGACATGACAAAAATAAATGCAGTGCCATCATGGAAATATTTCTGTCACTAGTATTTAAACAGCTTGAAGTTATGAGTTATGCTGAGAATAATATCTCTCTCTCTCTCTTGCCCTTTTTAACTCCCAGTGGAGCATAGGCCATCAACATTTCTCCAGCGAAGCCTGTCCTGTGCATCCTTTTCTAGCTGTTTCTATGATGTCCCCGCCTTTTCCTCCATCACACAATAACATACATTTCAGTCCTAACCAAATATTGCGATGAATGTGAGGTTTCTTGCCCAAAATATAATTGACAAAGAGACAAAGACATGGGCGCAAAAATCACACACGAAGGAGAGGCAAATCTGACAATGCTTACCCCGAGTCATTTATATCTGCATACAGGATCCACTGACATGGTGGGATGGTGAGATCATGAAACGGAATCGGCGGGTACTCTGTACTGTTGCCAGGTATCATTGATGCGGATGTTGGAACCGAGATCTCAGAACTGTTGCCTGGCACATGGCCATCATCAGTTGTCTCGTTCATTTTAAATCTCTTATCTTGACAGAATATGTATAGAGGCAGTCAGTACTATTATATGATGGTCCTGTGTCCTTAGAGCGCTTACAAACTGAAAGGACTCAAATATGTTAACTAGTAATCTGGTGCTGCAGCAGAGTCCAAATAGATGGATCTATAGTATCTGAGGAGAAAAAAAAAAGAAATCAAAGTTCACGAAAACATTGCTAAATGTCACAAAAAGAAAAGTTCAGGATTCTAAGAAACTTAATGTATGAGTTGCAACGACATTAGAACAAATTGACCCACTTAGACATGAGGTGCTCGAAAGGATAGCCAGGAAACAAGGCTTCCATTTTTCTATACAAAATCTTTCAAATGAGCTTGATTTTACATAAAATGATATTACCTGATAAAAATAAGCTTATTAAATAGTTTTGAATACTATTGTGCTGGTAAAAAGAACAATTTGAGAGCACAACATTAAGAAATTGACCTGTATTACTCCCTTTCGAACCCCAGATCATTCATAACAAACAAAAGCATCTTTAAAAGGGTTGGTTATTCGAATGGGCGTAACTACTCATAATGTCTTATCAAGCTAATATATGAGAGGGAGTTATTCATGTGTTCGTAACACTTTATAAATAGAAAGCGATAAAAGATAGAGTGTTACTTTCATCATCGATTAACACACCCCATCGGAATTCATGGCGAAAACACACGTTTCCAGTGCCATTCGCTGTGTACTAACAGTACACGCTGAGTGACCCTGGCGGCCCACCGGGAAGGTCCGACAAAATAGGTTACTGATAAGATTCGCATCTCAGCACAGACGCAGGACAAGAGTCAAAAGCCATAATTCAGCATATATCGTGACCTCAGTGCTTTCTTGTCGTATCTCCATTTTTTAAAACAGTGAAAATGATACTTCTTCTGAAGCTCATTGTTCGTTATTAATTGTTTTTACAGTTAAAAATAATAAAAAATGGAGATACGACAAGAAAGCACTGGGGTGGCAATATATGGAAAACTTTCACCCTTCAAAAGAAGAGACAGACAAAGAAATGAAAATATAAGACATCAGATGGGCGTCAAATTGAGAATGAAATACATCAAGAAACAACAAGTAAGGAGGTTTGGACATGTAATGAGAATGGGGCCACAATAGACAGCTTCTAACTATAAGGCCTACAACACATGCGATTTAATAGCTTCAAGGCAAAAGGAAGGTCAAGAAAAAGATGAATCGACGAGGTCAAGGAGACCCTCCGAAGCGACACACCCGGCCCACGTCCAACATCAAAATCACCTCGTGGTATCAGTGGACGGAAAAAGTAGAAGAAAAAGAAACAAATTAGGCTCCATCTTAAGCCACTTCGAAATATCATAAAGAGAGATGCCAACCACAGAAAACCAAAATGAGTATTGGAAAATATGAAAATGTGCATTTTCAGGTGAAAATGTGTATTCCCCACGACCGACCGACCAACCAGTAGGCTAAAACAGCACCTGGACATGGATGGCTGGTGCCTCTATAAATAAATCATTGATGGTCGACCAACTAGAAATAGTAAAATGTTCAGGTTGTCCAGCAATATTTCCTGAAAAAAAATTACTAGCTCACCAGCTTGAAAAAGGGAGCACACACGTGTACAATATAATATACATGTATCCAGTCAACAACATGTCAGTGTTCAATGTTGTACTGGGGTCTTGTTTGACTTAAGTATCTCAGTCTATTATATAATATTTTCCTCTCATTATTATATATAAAAAATTAATCCTGCTTTGAGAGTTCGGAAGGGCCTAGAACAAGAATTTCGACTATTAAGAACCAGTCTGGGTGTCATGATTCATAATATTATGAACTGACAGACTCAAATTATTGCTCAAACTCAGAGAAAAGCAATAAATTGAATGGCTCAAGTAGACCCATGCACTGTGAGAGTTGTAACAACTATGGTAGGGCAAGATGCAGTGGCACTGAAAATCTGCCAGTCTTGAACAGAAAGCTACAACATACACTGTAGGTATAATTTACTATCCCCCATCCAAGTAGGTATAATTTACTATCACCCATCCAATGAAACGTGAACACTTTATTTCAATAACACAGACTTGCAAAGTATGAAGGGTCCCGATTCCGCACATGGCCTGCACCAATGCACGCTTAGCAGAAAGCTCTAATCAAAATTCTGAAAAGTGCTTCCAAGTTTTTGTCCTCTGGTGTTGCCTTAAACCCCCGATAGTATCTTAAACCCCAAAAAAAAAATCAATAATCTCCTATGCCTTTACTCCCACAAAAAAGGTCTTTGCTCACACGATGCCGCATTTATTTATGATGCGAATGCGCGCAGGTTCAGTGACCGGTCACGATGGCGAGCCAGACAATCTAAAAATCGGACGACGCTTGTATTTTCTTTTCTTTTTTTTTCCACAAGTGACAGCACAGCGACGAGTCAGAGTATTTATTACATTTTATTTGAACGGCGACATTGTGTTTATATTGCACAACCTGCATGCCACAAATGTTGCGTTATCAGACAACTGCTGGTAAACTCTCGGTGGTAGCGAAAGCAGATCTTGATTTTCCCGATCGAGCCTCGGTGTCACATACGCTTCCGCCTGCCGCCATAGCTGCCTTTTCGCGTGAAAGTGAAACATACTCTCCAGACGGGGAAAAGATAAACCAATATAATATCACGATCGCGACCGGCAAAAATGAACTTACTGACCACATCGGACTTGGTTTTCAAATATTCCAGTTCTGCGATACTGATACTATTTTGACAAAAGATGGGACCTGAGATAATTAAGTTTACTCGCCCAAGCTGGATCTCGTAGTTTTCGCATTCCAGGATGCGTACTTTTTTATGAAAAGTCGTATTCGCGTATTTTCGGCCAAAAATCGTACTAAAATACGTAAAATCGTACTGGTTGGCATCTCTGCATAAATGTTTCATTGATATTGTGATTGTCTTCTGTTAATGTGCAGATGTTTGGTACATTTGCTACTATTTATATAATTTTACTTCTGTCAAATTAAACATGGAAAACAATGCCATTTTCTTGAAAATTGACAGAGATGTGTACACTAATAGAACCTAAAATTCCCAGGAGACATAGCATACAGACTCTCATAGAGGTCTTTGCCTCTCACATGACATTGATAGATCACAGAACAGAACAGATGATGACATGATGATTCAATCTGATGCAGTCAGTTAATCTTCTTCTAGGTTCTAAACTTTGAAAATTAAAATTTTAGTTTCTATTTTTTCATATTCGGACTCAAGTCCGAATAAAAAAATTCATATTCGGACTCGAGTCCGAATAAGAAAAAATGTTATTCGGACACGGGTCCGGAAAAAAGGAATTGTCTTCGTTCTATAGATCTAACGTTCAGTGCTTCCAATTTTCCGCCATTTTTTTAGTTTCCCCCACACCTTGTCTGCTGATCCGAT